TGCCCTACAATTGTTGTTAAAAAGTATAGAGCAAGCCCACCTTTGGCGTATAGATTATGGACAGCCTCTTGTTCTGGTTGTACTTTCATCTAGCTTTTCGCCCACTGCTGTGTTTTGGCAGACTGGCCCCATTTATTGGATACATTTGTCAGCCTCCCCTAAGAAGGTAGTGGCCCCCTACTATAATCTGATTTTACAATTGTTATGGAAGGCACACAAGTTTAGCATCCAAACCTTTGGAAAGAGTCATGATAAAATTATTCTTCCTTATGATAAAGAGAAGATGGAATATCTACAGACCTTCCATGATGGGTGGACCCTGTTTATTACATCTACAGGTGCCAAGTTTGATAACCTTTATCCCAATAGCCCCTTAATGTCTTTTTTCCACCTCTTAGGGTCACATATGGAGGGCTTTTTACCTAGCTTTTTACCTAGCTTCTCTGGAGCTGTGGATTCTAGCCTGGTTATCCTTTGCTTTACGTCTAATATCCACTTATGAGTGAGTACATATCGTTTTTGTCTTTCTGGGTATGGATTACCTCACTCAGGATTTTTTTCTAGTTCCATTTGCCTGTATTTCAAACTGAATCTGTTGCCTTAATTATAGAAACAAAAAACCCTTGAATTTACAGGAAGCCAGGGATATGGTCTTATAAAAAGTATGTGTGGCCGTGTGTCAGCAAATGAGCCAACCCAAGTCGCAACCAGTCTACCTACTGAGCTACTCAGACTGCCCACGAAGGCCAAGTGTGGCTGTGTCATCTCCAGACTGACAGTTAACACGGTCATAATGACTTGGTCATCTCTGCCCAGTTACTAGATAAGTGAGAAACTCAGCTTCATAAATAGGATCTACTGTTAAATGTTTTTCAGGTTATAAAACCAAAATACATCCACTGTCAAAGCTGGAAAAAAGACAAACAAGAAAATCACAAAGCACAGAGCCCATAACTCAGAATCCCAACGGTTCTCTTTGTTAACCCTATGAGAAAGACCTTTCCATATTTTCCCAGTTCTTATATCAATCAAATAAGCTGAGAAATAAGACAGAAATAGAAATAATAATTTATAGATTTAAATAGAAAATAAACAACATAAAATAGATACAAATGTATAGAATTCAATGGCCCATTCTTTGGCCTTATGATTGTACTGTAAAGCATTTAATCAATGCCTAAGTCTCAATCTTACATCTTTCCCAATTTTTCATTGTTACAAAACAAGTTGGGTTTTCTTCCTAGCATTCAAAATAGTCTCCTGGCCATAACTGAAATGGAAAACCTAAAAATTAGGCAAGAAAATTCCATAACCATTTTCTTCAAATCCCATGTTGTTTTAGACTTAGGGATCTTGGCACACACCATGCTCATCTAAAATGTCAATGTCCCCATGTCCTGCCCCCCCACCTCCCTGTACTCTACTTATCAACCTACAGATAATTTTTGGCAGAGGGCAGTTAATGACTTCGCACCACATAAATCCCTGATGGGACTTTACTTCTCACTCAGGAAAAAAACAATTTAAGACATAGAAGTTTAGTCTTGTTCCCCTGACACTTCTTTCTCGGTGCTCTATAGAGGGATAATCTAAGAATATAGCATTCATTTGAGCCGGGCATTGATGGAGCACACCTTTAATACCAGTACTCGGGAGGCAGAGGCAGGTGGATCTCTGTGAGTTCGAGGCCAGCCTGGTCTACAGATCGAGTTCCATGACAGCCTCCAAAACAATACAGAGAAACCCCTGTCTCGAAAAACAAACAAACAAACACACAAAAAATATAGCATTCACGATCTCCCTTTCTGTAGATGCACAAACATTATACTAAAGTTCTTGTTTCCATGTGTCATTTGCCTTCAAGGATCTTGATTTGTCTGTACTTTACATGCCACCATTGTCACACTTCCAGTTTAGTGAGTGTCTGCTTTCCAGATTGGACTCCCAGCTTGCAGTAACCCACATATGTATCTCCCCATGGAGGGTGACTGAAAATCCAGTAGGCTCAAGTTTCCTTCCTGAAATTCACTTAGTATAAAACCATTTGGACTGCATCTTCTACACACACATCATACACATGCCTTAGCACAATCATACGTTTGCATATCCATGTGCCTTTGAGTCTAAAGTCTTCTTAAGATGGAAATTATGTCTTATTTTTCTCATTATTTCTGGAACCTAGTAGACAGCCTAGTACACAGGGGGTAGCCAACTGAAAATTTGCCAAATGAGCATGCCAACACACTCGTATATTCCTTTTTTTTTTGGTTTTTTTACGAGACAGGGTTTCTCTGTATTGTTTTAGAGGCTGTTGGTCCAGCCTGGCCTTGAACTCACAGAGATCTGCCTGCCTCTGCCTCCCAAGTGCTGGGATTAAAGGCATGCCCCACCACCGCCCGGCAACACACATGCATATTCTTATACCACCTAACCACGTTTGACTTAAAGACATTAGCTAAAAATAGTAGATGACTATAATCATACAAAGTCCCAAGAATATTAATATTTGTATCTTAGTGTGTTTTCCAAACACACTGATATAAAATTTTTCAGATCCATATATCTCTGGAGTTTGACTGGCACTTGAGAGCACTGGCATTTACTGTGCTGGGTGTTTCCCAGGTGATACTGGCACAGCAGCTGTAGCTGCAATCAGAATCATCTCTGTTGTTTGCTAAACTTCTGCAATGATCTGATCCAGAAGGTGAGTGCAGAAGTTGAGTATTCCATAGTCAAAACATTTCATTCAATAAATCCATCCACAGATAGATAAGTGGAGATCACAGGACTTGGGCCACAGTCATAAGCTAACAATGAGATCTGAGACTTATCTCAGTGACTACATAACTAAAAACAATTTCCTGAGGGAAATCTACCCTAAGATGTCTTATGATTTGGGCTGAAATTCATTCCTTCCTGATTGCACAATACTCTGTAGAGTTGCGCTCTTCAGAGCTTTCTGAAGAGGATAAAATAACCCTCTGAATACCAATCTCTCAGTCAACAAATATAAGTTCAACACCTATGAAGGCAAACTGTGTGCAGACCTCAACAGGGAGAAGAAGATACTAGGCAGCTGGGACGATAAGTAGAAGTACCTTTAAAAAAGATATTACTGGTAACCAAAGAGTTTTTGAAGGTCTTGTGCAGACAAGGGATGCTAAAATAGCTCTGAGAGAGAAAGGGGGCTATTCCTAAATGCAAAAGGAGAAAAGAGAAAACATTAGTAGGAAAATACCCTGCAGAGCTGGGGCTAAGATAGGATTTCTGAGGCAAGATTATGCCTGAAATTGTAAAAAATAAAAAACAAAAAACAGCCATAGACTGTAGCCAATTCTACCAGGATGGTCCTAGCTGTAGAAGCAGGATATCTTGACATCTATAAAAACAACAAGGGGTTGTCTTTGTCAGTTAGCTATTGGCTCCCTTCTACAGGTGACATTGCTCTAGAATCTCATTCCTCACTGCCATCTGGCATTTTCTGGCTAGCCCTGGCTCTTGTACTGAAATGCAAAAGTGAAAACAGCTAAAATAGCACAGAGAAAATGGCAGCTTGTGGTTGTTGGCATAGCTTGGGATACAAGAGTGTTAATGCTTTGAGTCTTAAATAGTTCCCCAAGACCTGTGTGTTAAAAGCTTGGTCACAGCATGGTGCTAATTGCAAGGTAGTGAAGCCTTGGAGAGGTGTAGCCCAACAGGAGGCCTTTCTGTTAGTGGGGAAAGTGAAGAAGGGGACTGGAGACCCCAGCTCTTCCCCCTCACTCTTTCCGTGACTCATAACTAGCCCAGAAGTTTTGTTCAGGCACACATATGTGCCACCACCTTACCAGAGGCCCATAGCAACAGGGCCAGTTGACAATGGATTGAAACCTCCAAAGCTATGAGCCAAAATAAGTGTTTCTCTTCCTCCACTAATTATCTCCATTATTTGTTGTAACAAGGCAAACTGACTAATATAGCAGTTGGGAACTACTAGACTTACAGAAAACACATCATTTTGGTCAACTCTGGATTGCCTTTCTCTAATATATGATAACAGAGCTAAGTGACTGTTGCCTTTGTGAGAAGTTAAAGTAGAAATTAGACACACCCAGGAAGAACAACAGCCCTTGATTTTATTTTGGACTTGGCATGTATGTGACTACCCACACTTCAACTATATGAAATCAACATTTTGGTGTCACAGAATTTCTTCCCTATTGAAAACCACACAGAACTTCTTAAAAGAAAATTTAAAAATAGTCTTCTATTCATCCCACTGTGTGGATACAATATTACATTCGGAGTCAGAAGTAGAACATATTGAAAATTTCTAGCTCTAGGATAAATTCAATTTTCTTTTAGTATCTACATTAGCAACATCAAAGACTAGCTGGTGTGGGGGAGGGGTGAATGGAGCACTAAGGAGGTTAGTCATATTACCTAGCTGCCTTCATCCTTTATAAAATTACCTCCCTACAGCTCCAGTTTTAGCTAAGGAACATGAATGGGTCACTCTGGCTCCATTGATGAATTCATCTACCAAGATTCACACACTATGGACAGCAGTGGACATGACTCAATATTAGTTAACCTGATTCTCTCTCAGAAGAAACCTACTCTGGCACACTGAAAGGTTGTTTTTATCAGAAGTCAAGAAGAAGCCATGGCACTTATGGGTGGCGACCACATTGAGTCACATGAAGCAGAGAAGTGCGGCCTGGCAGGAAAAGAAAAAGATAAGAAAAGCTATTAAGTGACTCTAGAGTCCTTAGGGGGACCATCAGGGGCTAGTGATTTGTTTCTCATCAGTATCTAGAGAAGGAGTGAGTAACTATAGACCCCAATGGTGGCATGTGTGAACAGTGAAGAATATTATTTCATGGTGGCTCCATGTATGTTGCTCAATGGATCCATGAGTGGTTTGAATGTCTTATTGATTAAATATATATATTTATATATTTATATATTATATATATAACTATTCATACTTCTTTCTTGAGCAAAATAAATATAACCTTACTTAAGGAAATATCAATAGTATTTTAAAATCATAATTTTTATTTACTATTATGTGTGTGCCTATAGTGTGGGGTTAGGGATGTGGACCTGCTATGGTGTAGATGAAGATCGGAAGATGATTTGGGGGATCCATCCTCTCCTTCTACCTTATTGTAGCAACATCTTTCTTATTTTTGTCTGTTGTGATTTATCCTAAAGACTAGTTGGACTGCAAGCTTCTGGGTAATTTTTCTACATCTTCTTCCATCTTGCCATAGAAGAGCTAGGATTATGGCTACTGGATTATGAGTTCCAGAGATTGAGCTCAGGTCAGTAAGCTTGCCTGGCAAGTGCTTTTACCTACCTTGTCAGCCCTCCTTATAGGTTTTATGTGATTATATATCACAGATACACTCTAATAGAAGCATACTGGTATCCTGATTAACTATCTAGTTCCTTAGAATACTGTGAAATCAACTGGCAGCCTTTGGAGGCTTCCCCATGATGATGTGTGAATGGCTTGGCACTGAGGTTTCTATAGCCATGAGGGTTTCTGAGTATGTTGGTGCTATACCCTCTGATGGACAGAGAATATTCCACTTGAGTAGACCTTTAGAGATCTTAAGACAGCCTCCGGTATCACCAGAGAAAGGCCCAGGACCATTGTTGACAGTCTATTAAAGGTTATATGGCTAATAATTAATCTACCTCATCTTTCATTCTGCACCCAAATTCTCCAAGAGCCTTGTGAAACTCTCTTGTAACTCTTCTTTACATTAAAGTCTTCCCTGCTCCTCCTTCAATGCCCCCAAACACTTTCTGGTCTAGAGGTCAGTTTGTACCACCCACCACCACCACCACAGCTCCCTGAATATGCCTTCATGGTTTAACTGTGGCGTGGTAGCATTCTGGAAATATCAATGGATATTTTTCCTTCTGACATGTTCCCTCTTCCTTTTCCTGCCCACTGTCTCCCATTCCCACTCAGTGTCCCACCTCATTCGGGCAAACCATCTCTGGATTCATTGTGTTAAGAAAGGTCAGAAAATAGAAATTATCTACAGGGTTAGTTTTATAGCTTCTGAAGTTTCCACCAGTTAAAGAACTTACCCTAGAACTCAAAAGAGAGAGATGGTGCTTTACATATAGAAAGAAGAAGGTAACACGTCTCTTGAGAAGGGGAAGCCCTCATGTCATTGTCATCAGAGGAGGGCAGGATCAGAAGGCCTGAAATTCCTCCCCAGATGAACATCCATAGCCAAGTCCTACTAGACTGTGAGGACAATGAAGCTGTCTACTGCCTATTGTGGGTAAGAGGGTTTCTTTCCACTATTTGGGTGCTATGGTTCTGTAAGAACCTAGAGATGGAGAAAAACTCCACTGGAACCTGGAGGAAACTATAAGACTTGTCCGAACCATGCCTCATTTGCAGAAACATCTTGTGGCAAAGGCAACTGGAAAGCATAAAGCTGAGGAATGGTCCTGTTGATCCCTGACTCTCTTTGACTTAGATATGGGATAGAAAAACTTCACTACTGGAGACAACTACATCATCTCAGATTTGGTACCTGAGGAATCTACTTTCTCCATTCATTTCTCCCTTTCCTAGCTGATTTCCCATCTCTGAAGTTCTGAAACTGCCTCCATTTGCTTGTCTTTTCTCAAAGATCCCCATCCTCTACTGAAGATGCTATAGAAACCAGACTCCTAAGTCATTTAAAATATGTTCCCATGTGATTTCTCCTGTTCAATGGGCATCTCTTAATAAGCAATAAACTTGTTCTCCTTTCATAATCTGTCTTCTGTAACTATCCCAAACCTGAATTAAATTTCCTGCTATCTTGATGAGAATAGGGTTGTAGGTGTAGAATAATAGCTGTGTTCTTTAGTCTTAAGCAAGTAGGCCCTTGATATACTCTCAAGAGCCTATGTTGGCATGCTTTGTATGACTTCTCTTATAGACACTGGAGTATGGAATTGACATATGTCCCTGTGTGCTAGGAATCCTATTAACAAGAGCATGATGCCCATGGAAAAAGAGCCAAGTTTCTCTTGGAAGCTGCCTATTTAATATACATGATGCATGACAGGGCAGCCAAGAGGCCAAGATCTTTAGTTGGGGTTAATAATGGAGGCTGCTTTCAACTGCTTAGAACAAATATTGAAGATAGACTCTGTACTGCTTGATATTATCTAAATGATTTTCAGTTGTTTGCTTTCATTTATGCCCTTTCTTCTGCACTTTGTTTTTTCTACAATTCCTCCCCTTCTTATTTCATTTTTGTAGAATTGGTATTGAACCCAAGACTTTATATATGCCAGGCATGCACTTTATCATCTGACCTCCATCTCCAGCTCCTCCTCCTCATTCTCTTCATATTTTCTTCCTCCTCTTCCTGGGGGTGAATTGAACCAGCAGTCGGATTCTGAACCACACATGAGAGAGAGCAACTGCCCTCCTCTTTCTTTAAATGGATTATAGCAACAGACAAGAAGTTCTGCCTCTATTGGTCTAGAAAGCCCAAAGTCATAGACAGGGCTACCCATTACAATTCTGTATTAAAGAAAGACAGGGGAAAGAAAAGGAGGAGGAAAAAGAAGAGGAGAATTTAATCCTACTCCCTAGCTATGCTTTTTTTTTTTACCAGAGCTCGTGTTTTATCTGGTGTTCTATTGTTTGTGAAAGCAGCACCTGGGAAATGGGAAGCGCTGGTCAAGATGGAAGCCTGGGCACAGGAGCTTACCATCATCTGCCAGTGACTCCATCAACAAAAGACAATGTTGAAGTGCAAAAGAAATAACCTGTGATGATGATCAAGTTGGAGAGGGAATTCTCTTGTATGTGGAAGACTTTGGCACATTCTTTAAGGATGTAATCAGATGGAGGTATGTTAGTGGACATATCAATGGATGGGACACAGCAGAGAATGATGGGGTTGAAGAGTAAGGCAACTCCAGGTATGTGGCAGCCATTCACTTTGCAGAATGGGAGCAGTGTCGGTGCCCTCCCACACAGAACAGAGGGCATAGGACTGTCTCCTGGGGGGGGGGACAAGAAGCATGCAGACTCCTCCCCAAAACAAATGCCCTAACTGCCTAAGATGGATGCATGTTTCAGTGTGCATATTGGTCTCAAAGCAAAGCAAAGCATTCCCTGATCAGGCTCTTGGTGGGGATAAGGCAGAATGCATTTATCTAAGGCTGCTTTCCAGGTGAAGTTTCCAAAGTAAATCTGTCACTTCATCAGTTGTGAGCATCTGGGAGGATTTTCTGATCTGACTTCCCATTCATGGGAGGCACCTTTTAAAAAATATACTGTCCATCCTAATATAAAATAAACCGACACAAGACAGCTACGATTACGAAACAGCCTCCATTCATCAATGTAGATGCACAAACCAGGTCACCAGGCAGTTGAGGACAACTACCAGCAGGAAATGAACAGTACCAAATCTCAAGGGAACAGACTATTGCCAGAACTAGAAGAGATATTTTAAAAATAGTTAATGAATATATTTAAAAAGGTCTAGATATTGGATTCATAAAACAAGAAGAATGCAGCTGGAAAAGGGAACCAGAACACACAGAGGAGTTCTTATAAATCAACACAACACCTAAAATGCGTGGTCCAGGGATGTAGCTCAGAAGTAGAGCACTTACCTAGCATGCACAGGGCCCTGGGATACCTCCTAAGACCACTTGGCCAAGAAGGCTCTTTTGTGACACAATAGATTATCAAAGAGGAGCAAACACGTGATCCACCAAGGGCACATCCCTGAGCTCAGCAAGTCTAGGCCCCAGGAAACTGTCCCCTCCTTTAGCTTTAACTGCACCCTTCCTGAATTGGCCCCTGATATGTTTCTCTGTCCTGTACAGAGATACCATTTGGTTTCCTCCCCCTTTATCCTGCTTCATTGCTCGTATTGTTAACAAACATTTAAAAGTGGTCACTATGCTGTGCCCACTATCACTTTCCAGGCAGCTTTTCATCAGTTCTTTCATTTATCCATTAACTCAGCCCCACTTAATTAGTTCCTGCTATGTGTCATGCACACTGAGCCCTGTGGATAAAGAACTGACCCCTCTGTATTCGTGGTGTCATGGGTAGGGCAGCAGTGTTTAAGCAGAAGAACCTGGCATTCAAACTCATGGCTTCAAATCTTAGTCACCACAAAATGGTTATTGACTTTACCACACAATTATTTCTCCATTATTCAAAGTCCTTCTTCATAACTAGGAATATATTGAGCTTAAGGAACTGTTACAATTACATGAATTAAATAGAAATCCTTTGATATCTGTGGGCATTCCAGGACCCCATAAAGCTACCAAAATTTGCAGATGCTCAAATCTCTTCTAAATAATGGTATAGATCTTACATAAAACCTATGTGTGTCTGCCTATGTATGCAACACAAATCATCTCTAGGTTGCCAATAATCTCTGATACAATGTAGGTAGGTATACTCTATTGGTCAGAGAATAATAAGAAAATTGTATATATTTTGCACAAATTATCTAGAAATAAAATAATGTTGGCTTTTTTGTTTAAATTCACAGGTACAGAATCCAGATACAGGTGGCTAACTGCCTATGAAAACACTTGCCACATAATATTTCAGTGATGGACAACAAGTAGTCATGGGCAATGATGGCAGAGTAATGAATGCAAGAAGAAGCAGTAGAGTACGGTGTGCAAGGAACCCACTGAGGCAACTCTTCCTTCCTGGGTTATAGGGAGTAATTTTACGTATTCATCGGTAAGTGCTGACCACTCCCATGTGGGTGTGTTCACGGGTATGTAGAAGGTAGTAAATAGAGCTAGGGGGAGGAGACATTTTTCTCTTTGGGTTTTGGTTTTGACCTGGAGAGCAGTGTAGGGACCTTCGGTTCTCAGCTTTCTTGGCTTTTCACATAAGTGATTTCTCTTTCAATAAATATCATAGGACATCCCTAAATTTGTGTAGTTTAATATTTCTGCTTTACAAGGTGGTTCAAGGAAGGCTTCCCAGAGGATGTCAAGCCTGGATTAAGAACAAGGAAGTAATAAGACTTAGCTGAACAGCCTAAAATGCTGGCACATACTTATGATCCTAGTTCTGGGGAGACTAAAACAGTAGGCTATGATTCAGAGTCAGTCTGGATACACAGCAAGACCTGGTCTTTAAAAAATATTAGACAGAGAGGAGGGATTGAGGCCAAGAAAACTGGCTTTCTTTTTTTAATGTATGTTTTTATTTAAATTAGAAACATGCATGCTTCAAATGTCAATCCTAGCTCCCCCCTTCTCCCTCCACCAGCCCCACACCCACCCCCAGCCCAATCCCCACATCATTCCCCAGGGAGGGTAAGGCCCTCCTTGGGGGCCTTGGGAGCTGTCATGTGTCTCACAGTAATACCTTTTGCCTGATCTGCTTTAATTGCAAATGTTCATTGCAATAAGTTGTTCATCTTGTTCATGGCCTGTCTTCTAGTATACTGTCAATACTGTACCCTCATGAAACTCCACTTGGATAGATATCCTTGCTGTTGTCCAATATCATGGAGATCTGAGACTGTAGTTGGGCAGGTATGGTCCCTTCACAGATCAGGTCATAAATGGGGTAGATGTTGGGATGAAAATTGGTTTTCTGTGTTTCCAATTCTTATTTCTGTCAGTGTCATTGGATGTGAAACATGTGTCAAAAAATAATCAGGAATGGCAGAAAGCACCAAATCGGAATTTGGACAGAACTGAAAGTCTAGCAACTAGTCAAGTGCTTTCCCTGAGGGAGAGGTTGATCAGCTCTCCATGCAGAGATACTCTGGCTGCAAAGAAAACACAAAGGACTGAAGATAAGACTTAGGCCTATGCAATCTTGGTGTTTGCCTAGGAAAGAAATTGTGGTGGGCTGTGTAGATTGTGTTAGATGACATAAGGAAATGAAGATCTGAGCAAAGGACTTAAAGGTGTTGGAGAAAATGAAGAAAGAGTTCGAGGGTAATTCCACTGGATGGAACATGGACACAGCCACTGAGGCAGAGCCCAGGAAGAGGAACACACTGGGATTGATAGCTGTGAGCTTGGGTTTGTACTTGTTGAATTTGAGATAACATGGGACATCCAAGAGCAGAGGTGGATAGCAGTTGAAAAATATGTCTGCAGCTCAAAAGTGCCTGGAGCTGGAGATGCCTTAGCAGGGTTTCCCACCAGACAGGTTTCTTCTGTTTTTGAGAATGCTCATCATTAAGTTTCATGGTCCTGGAAAAACTTTTCTAAAGTAGATCTTTGTTGATGCTGAGTATTTTGAGTTTTTTGCCTCTTGGTTGGAAAAAATATGCATCTAGTTTTCTTATTAGAATAGTAGACAAAGTCATTTGCATCTTAAATATCTTTTAGAAGTTGCTTAAGCCATTCAAAAAATACTGGATGGGAAAGAGGGTAAACTGTGTTCTACTATGGTAACAAGTAGTTCAGACAACACCAGGGGCTTGTGACAACAATGGTTTCATTTTCATTTCTCACACCTACTAAATTTCTATTGTGGGTTCACAATATATAGTTGAAGTGACTGTAATGGCCTTGATTTGTAACCTTGATGCTACCTACCAGAGGGGGAAAATGGAGCTCTTGAGGAACTAGGACCATCAATGATATGCTATTAAGAATTGAGAACTGGTGTGACACATCTGTTCACAAGTCATTTGTCAGGATCAGCTACATGACCTATCTAATTAGGAAGCATCCAGGAAGCATAATATACCATATGCTTGGGAAGTAGAGAGCTGGACTTTCTCAGTGAGGGACAAAAATAGAATCCCTGCAGCATGCCACATGTAGGAAACAAATCCAAACCCTTTAATATTTAGGATGATGAGAGTAAGGCCATACTCTTTGCACAGCCTGAGCAGATGGGCCTGCTTCCCTGAGTGACCTGCTGACAGAAGACTCACATCAGCCTTTGGGTGGCAGCTGTGGGTAATCACAGGAACTGAACTTCTCCTTACATAGCCCCATCTTTCACTGGTCATGTTCCTGAAGAGCCTCACTTCCTCTCCAGGAAGATGCAAAGGTTCTGTGTAGCTTGTGTTTGTAAATGCATTGCTGTCTAGCATCTCTAGGCTACTACAACCTTTATCACCAGATATTTACAATCGAATCTTTTCTACTTCTTGGACCCTGAAGTCCTGAGGAATTAATCACCGAGGAGAGCCAAGCAAAGTATTTCTAATTTGGATGAGAGCCCCCTTCATCAACAAGATCCCAGAGAAGTAGCTACCCCAGGACAACACTACATTGTATCCTTCATAAGAGGCCACTGCAGAGACAAGAATTTGTCCCTGTATATGCTTAACATACAACTTGCCAAATGTAACCTTGGCTCAGCAGACAGAATCCACCAAACGCCAGGATAAATCAATGCATGCCATGCCAAAGTGGTTATCCATCCCTCATCTACTCACCCATCACTCCATGACCAACCAAGAGAGTGGAAAGAGAGGCCAGGACAGAGACTTGAAGAACATGGTACACATGACCTCTGGAGCTCTTACGAGGATGTTCAGTGCCCAAGCTTCACCATCTAGAGACTCAGTCAGATGATGTTTAAACCCAAATCATGTAGTGGATACCCCAATACATAAATGATAAGTGACATCATAAATATGAATGAAACCACATGGCCAGGGAACATAGAAGAAGAAAAGGACTCAGGACAGAAACTCAGTACAGCAATTTCAGAGTAGGGGTGTGGAAGTGAAGACGCAAGAGCCAGATAAGAAGCGGAAGGAAGGAAGACTGTGGTTCTTGGAATCCAAGCAGCTGAGATGGCACTATAGCACTGCACTGAAGTAGCTTGTCCTGACTGAGACACAATTCTGTGTACCCGACGGTATAGTTTGACTGTAGCAATGTCAGAGAAGGACAGCTATAGAAGCCACATAACAGGAAGTGGAAGGTAACGTGGAGACAAAATAAGAAGGATAGGAGAGTCGTATTCACTTCCTCCAGTCATCACAACAACCCTGCAAGGCAGACATTGTTTTCTCTGCTTTAAAAGTAAGGAAAGACAGTCACCGATGGTAGCCTAGCTGAGCGACGGGGGAGTTAAGACTGAAGCCCAAGTCTGAGAAGCAGAGAGCAAAGTCTTCCTACAAGCCCCAGCATCTAAGCCACCTGGTACTTGTGTGCTGACAGGTCATACAACAATTGTCAGAACGGGCTCTTCCAGTGCCTGATATAAAAACACACTGAACAGCAGGATAGGAGCATGCCTACATGTTAAAGAGAGAAGTTGTGGAAGACAGCAGCAGCCTCCATCCTTTCTTCCTGACACCTTCTGTGTTTGTTTTCTGGGCTCCTAGAGTGCGTCTCTGAATTCCTTGGACTGAGATACCCCTTTGCTATGGTGCAGAGATGCTGAGCTGCCAAACTCATGCTCCAGCCTGTGCCTCTTTGAAGAACCAGCTTGAACTGATTGTTCCTCAGCTTTTCACATAAAATTACAGAACATGAGGCCCACAGCTTTGCCCTAAGTTGTCAACAGGTTTTAATTGTCTCTGCTTTTCCGTACACACAGATGGCTATGCTAAGCTGCTCTGAGCAGACCTCTGCTGTCTCCAGTAAGAACAAAACAAACACAACAAATGGAAATCTACTTGAAAAGAAAAATTATAACAAAGTCCAAAATAGCTGCTTTTTTCCCTGAAGGTAAGTGTTACATAAAGGAAAACAGTAGATGGGACGGGTAAAGGATAGAGGCAAGAATTTTTAAAAAGCATAATGAAAATGTTAATTTGTGAAAGAAATATAATGGCCAAGACAACTAAGTGAAATCAGGATGGTCGAATGCAGCCCATGAGCCATATGCCTCTCCCACAATGGCTAGAAATTTGACACAATGCTTCTGCAGATGACAGTGTCGTGTCACAATGTCAAAAAGCTAGACGCTAATTTAGATGAATTTAGAAAAACAAGAGATTCTTTTTACTGATGAAGACCATCATTAGCTATCAGCTTCAGATTTCTTTGTCCAAGGTCATTAAGATCCACTGCAAATAACCAAACAGATCCACATTTGAAACTCTATCTTCAAAACAGTGGACCAACCAAGGTATATGCAAAGCCATACAGAAACAAAACTGAAAAAGAAAACATAATTTTATAAAAGTGATTTAAGGGAAGTACCCAAGAAATTAAACTCCTAGTACCAGATAAAGTATATCTCCTCATGAGTTATTGGTCAAGAAGCCACCAGAGGACCCCAAAATAATATAGGCTATTATCGTTGCTTTAGGTTTCCAACAAGATTAATCTATAAGATCCTATTATGAAATACACCATACATTCTGGTTCTATAACATGTAGAAATCAAGCTGGAACTAAGCTTGAAGCTGCCACACTACTGGCTAAGTTTCATAGCACCAGAAGGCACCATGCAGGTTGTTAGGAAAGAAAAGTCATCAACTGTCTTAGCCTGCTATGAACCCTGAGAGCTATAATATTGAACTATCGAGCAAGATGTACATTGGTGTAAGTAGCATGACTGTTATGGGGGTAAGCAACCACTTTCTGATTAGATATAAAACTTGTACAGGAGAGAATTCATGCCTGTTATTGTCAACATGACTGGGGAGGCCATAGATCTTAGTGGAAGAATCTACTACTATTGGTTTGTTAAACTGACATGTTGTCTATCTGTCTTCTGCATGTTTATGTTTATATCTATAGATTAGTGCTGCTTTCTATGAGTCAAGCTTCCATCTTCAGTGGGTGGTAGCATACAGAGACACAAAATTGGTCACAGTGTAGAGAATAAGTGACTGAGAAGTGCTCAGTCCTAAAATGAGCATCAACAAACTCCCTCCAAGGTTCAGAGAACACCACAGAACAGGGACAGAAAGGATGTCAAAGCCAGAGGACAGGAAGGGATGCTATAAAACACTGTCTTCTAGACATGACTCAGCTAGTGAATCCGTAACCTCACAGCAGCCTTGGTTACCTGCTCAAGACTGGATCCACCAACATTCCATTACAGATGGGGAAGATCTCATGGGGCCCTAGCCCTCCCTAATGAGTTGCAGTCTGTATTGCTGGGTATGGGGAGTCATAATCCTCAATGATGTAGCCTCGGGTAAATTTTCCTTGTGCAAATACTACCACATACATCCACACTCATTAAGCATCCATAATTAAATGTTGAAAGTCACAAAAAGACATGAAATTAGAAAGGAAACATTGGAAAAAAGAAGGGGTTTAGTGGGAGATGTAAGAGACTAGTGAGGGCTATGATCAAAGTATTATATATTTTTGAAAGGATAAATAATAATGAATGGGTCAGGTAATGAGAGCTGTGAAAGACTGCATCACAGAAAATATCTAGGATTAAGCACCATTTGCATGACTGAACACCATGTTCCATCTAGACATAACAATTATATAAGATCAAGTACTTACATGGTTCAAAGGTAAAAGCATATTATGGGACAAAAGGAATTGATAAATTATTCTCCATGAAGGCTTTACCAAATTATATTTTGGTAAAAAACCACGAGAAACTTCTATGGTTTCCTGTAACATTATTACAAATGTTGTAGCTAAATTAAAAATTAATAAGTGATGAGACATCAAAACCTTAATTTTATTTCCCTTATTACAAATAAGGTTGTATATTAATGTTTAAGGAGTATTATTTACATTTCTTTTATGATGAATTTTCCTGTCTTATTTTTTCATGTTTACCCTGTTTTTACTGGCTATTTTGACTTCTTTTTATTTAGCAAATATCTCCACATAAGCCATACATACATATTCACACACATGCATGCACACATACATATGTATGCAGACATAAACGCATATGCACATGTATACATTCACAAACAGACACACACATACATATACAATTTACCCCTTTTGTTTACATTTTTTGGCTTTTCAAGACAGGGTTTCTCTGTATAGCTTTGGAGCCTATCCTGACACTCATTCTCTAGACCAGGCTGGCCTCGAACTCACAGAGATCCACCTGCCTCTACCTCCCAAGTGCTAGGATTAAAGGCATGAGCCATCAACACCAGGCTTGTTTAAATTTTATTTGCATTGGTAATACTTTCCTTCCTATTCTAATATCTAAATTTAAATTTTGTATTCATAACACATTAGATAAGAATCTAATTTTGTCTAAATAACTGTAAAGATCAACCTACACCATGAATTAAATTTCACTATATTAAATTCCACTTCCTTTGTCCACTTAATTATAGTATATATTTAGGGATATTTCTAGACTTTCTACCTAGTTTGCTTACTTTTCATTTGGTAATGTACCAATATTGGATTATTTTTTTCTTTTGATTTTTTGAGGCAAGGTTTCTCTGTGTAACAGCCCTAGTTGTCCTGGAACTCACTTTGTAGATCAGGCTGACTTTGAACTCACAGAGATTCACCTGCCTCTGTCTCCCAAGTGCTGGAGTTAAAGGCATGCACCACTACCAGTCAACTGGATTGTTTCAATATTGGTAGTTTTACAGTATGTTTTGGGATCAGAGAGGCGTGGTCATTCTGACTACTCATACATTTATTTTTCACATATTTATTTTCATATTTATTTATGTATTATGCATATGTGTGTGTGTATATATATATGTATATGTCTGTGTATGTCACGGCACTCATGTGGAAGTCAAACGACAACTTGTGAGAATTGGTCCTCTTCTTTCCATCCTGTTATTTGCAGGGGTAAAATTCAGGTCTGCAAGTGTTACAGCTCTGAAGGGAAAGGTATCCTGACTGTTGGGAGTCAGGCTATAACTATAGCTGTGAGGGAAGGTATCCTGGATACCTACAGCTGTGGATATAAAGAAAGTCATGTTATACCTATAGCTATGTTCTGGTGGGGGATGGTCTCCCCACAGGATTCAGCAATCCTGACTTCCTGTGAGAGAAGCATTACAGCTCAGCTAGGCTCCATTCTGCTAAGAGAGTCTCCCAGCAGAGATGTCCATTGCTTCTCTCCTCCACTCCACTAAGGGAGTTTATCAGCAGAGATGTTGTTGTTTCTCTCCTCCACTCCAGCATAAAAAGTTCTTTACCCAAAACTCATTCAAGAGATTTATTGGGTGGGAGGAATCCAGGAGAAGGACTTCCTATGCAAGGGTGGGAAGGACAACTCCCAATTGAGCAGGCACAAGGCTTATATAGGACTTCCTAGAGGTGGAGTTTTTCCTGGGTGAAGATTTTCGGGATGGGAATTGGTTAGATTCAATCATTGAGCTTGCACAAGCTCAGAGACTAGCTGGATTTCATGCTCAGGAGTTGATTGGTTTAGTGCTCAGGGATTGGCTGGTTTTCCCGCTGAGGAATTGGTTGCTTTCATGCTCAGTTTGTCGGGGACAGAGTGTATTTCTTTGGTCCTAGTTTCAGGACCAAAGTGTGTTTGTTTCACAGGCCCTTTTTAAAATTTTGGTTCTGGTTTCAGGGCTAGGGTATGTTTCTTTCACTGCTCTGTTTTCAGTGTCAGAGAAAGTGTTTCTTTGGCTAGTCTTTTTACCCTACATGATTATCAGGCTTAGTTGGAAGTGCTTGTACCCACTAAACCATCTCTCTAGCTCATAGATGTTATTTCTAATAAACTTTTCTAGTTAAAAGAATGTTGGATTTACATTGCTCTTATGAATTGAGGGTAATTAAGTTCTTCTTGGAATAACTTTACGAAGTTGAGTTATTCTGCAAATCAGCAATTCCTGCTTTCCCCATTAAGGTTATTTACTGAATGAAGGAGCAGCAAAGACTCTCTCCAGGCACCCAAAATGTCAGGCTCCTGATACTAAATGTGCAGAGTCTTCATTAGGATGACTTAAAGTCTAACTTTGGCTTAATACTCTGTTCTCATTTTTGTAAATATTAGGAACTTTAGGCTTCTCTGCATGTCCCATTTGCACACCACAGGCTTAACCATAACTAAATGAGTCACTCTCATGTGGAATAAATATCATCTAATAATGTTTGACCTCCAAGTGCTCTGAAATTAGTTAAATACATTTATACAACCCAAAACACAGCTTCCCTCATCCAGAAACAGCAGGAGGTATGACTCCATGAAAAATCATATTAAATTATCTCATTTGGAACCACTTCAGAAAACAACCATTGTTGATTAGCATGTGACAGTTCACTTTGAAGGATATCAAATTTATTTGACAACTGATGGTCTTGATAATTTTCCTTATTGATTATTCTCACTACATAATGATCAAATTATCTGATTTTTCACTTTTGTATTTTATAGTTGATTGTTAGAAGGACACTTTGCACTATGAACTAATTCTTCCAGGGTCACACCATAAGTCCATCAGTGAGTTAAGATTAAAGAAGAAAGTTCTATGCCATTCTATGAATGAATTAGCTCACCTAGAGACACTGAGGCAAACATAGCTCAGAAGCACAGCCTCTCACATCTGACCCATCATTACCATCCACTGACTGGTCACAATCTATGCACAGTTCTATAGTGTGTAATGAGTGTTCTTCCCACCAGCCTGGTGCCAGTATTGTGTCAGTCCCAAATAACACACAGAGACTCTATTAGTTACAATGCTGTCGGCCAATGTCCAGGGCTTCTCTTTGGCTAGTTCTATGTTAAGTATTGTGGGGACACCAGACCTTGAGCAGAAACCCACTTCCCCTTTGGCCTTGGAGTAGGCATCTGTGTA